CCTTCGGTTCCCAAAAATGTCTTCAAATGGATCTTCATTACCAAAGAAGTCAAAGGAAAATGGATCCCTTCCACCAAAAAATTCCCTGAAGACATCTTCTGGGTTCCGGAATGTGAACCCAAACTCAAATGGACTGTCAAAGTGACGTCCACCTACACAAACACAAGACAAAAGTTAGTTTTTGAATTCTAAACTTTAAGGCAAAAAAAGATCTAAAAAAAGAACATACATAAATCTGGGGTTCTCTGTGATTCAAAATAAACCCTAATCAAAGCTGTCAGTGTGTGTAGGGGTTCAACCATCAGAAGAGAAGGTCCCAGTTGGCTTCCTTTCATTACAACTTCTCACTATCTCCACATCTTGGTCAACACACATTACATGCATTTTCTTTTTTTTTTTCTTTTTGGGGCAAGGTTTTGCTGTGTAGTGTAGGCTGGCCTTAAACTCACAGAACCCTCCTGTCTCAGCCTCCTGTAAATTAGGATTACAGGCATGCACCGCCACACCCAGCTACATGCACTTTCAATGTCTGTGAAGGCTAAAGAAAACCCGGAGTGTAATTACACACCTTCCACACAGCTGGAACATGAACACATGGGTTCAGAGAAGTATCTGAGAAGCCCACACTGAAGCTAGCAGCACAGGAGTCGATCACTTTAGGGACTTTCCCCAACACACATGTAGTGTGCCCTTCACCCCCAAAGGCTGTTTTACCTCAACGCTGGTCAGTGATGTAGGGCCGAAAGCTCACAGCACCACAGTACAATGAGGACTGTGTATCACATCTGCAGCAGGTCCATCAGCAAACACCTCCCAGTCTAACAAAAGATCTGGTGTGTGTCTTTGGTTTGGTTTGGTTTGGTGGTACCGGGGATTGAACTCAGGCCCTTGCGCTTGCCAGGCAAGTGCTTATTCTACTGAGCTACCTCCCTGGCCCTCCTGGTGTGTTTTGATGGGTTTTTTGGAGACAGGGTCTAAGTAGTTCATGCTGGCATTATAGGAATATGCTACCAACTAAGCTTAACAAAAGGGTTTGAATAGCTATATGAATTTTTGGTTGTTTTGGGGTAGCTTGTATTCTTTTGTTGTTTCATTTTATTTCGATAGTTCTGACTGAACCTAGGGCATTCACAATGAATCACATCCCCAGCTTTTTATTAATTTCTTATTCTGGGGGGGGGGTTGTCTCAATAAATTCCCCAGGCTGGGCCCAAACTTCTAGTCCTTCCAAGTACTGAGGTTTCAGCTGTGCACCACCAAGCCCAGTTTTGTTTTGTTTTGAACATATTTACTATAGGGTCTACAGGATCTCACTACACAGATCAGATTCGTAGTGATCCTGTTTTCAGCCTCCTGGCCAGCCCTTAGCCCAGCTTTTTAATAGCTGCCTAAAAATGTCAATTCCTCCACCCACTACCCAATTCTGCCAACTTTTTAGGCTGCACTTGCATGTAATGCCATATAGTCTGTAGTCTGACCAAGATTCAGTCATTCACAATTCAAAAACAACTTAAATTCAGGTAACTTTGTCAAGACCTTGTATCTTCAAACAGAAAATTCATTCACATACCTCCTCCACCACCATTTAATCCTTCTTTGCCATATTTGTCATAGATGTCCCGTTTTTTAGCTTTAAATTTGGAGGGGAAAAAAAATTTTAACATTTAAATTTGGAAAATAAAAAAAAAAAAAGACAGATATATGCTCTTTTCAAATCCTCAAAATTCAACTGATAAGATGTAAATCAGGGTTCACATTCTCAGAAATTTTAAGGAGTTAGGCTGCCCTTCCTTTTTTTAAAGAGAACAGAAAAGAAACCGTGTATCCTCCTGAAAGGTGATTCAGAAAACTTTTAAAAATCCTCTCTTTAAGAATTATAAATAGTAAATATTCTACTAGCTCATTTCTTTTACTCCACTGCCCAAAACTTTCCATACATTAAAAAATTACATAGTCAAATATAAAACCATTCACACAAAGGAAGTGAACCTTCTTACTACAAAGAACCTTCTTACTGAATTGTGTGGAAACCAGAACAAAGATAGCCCAGGCCTGCAGGCCACTGGCCCTGTGAGTAGCTGAACACATGGCCCAAGTGCCTTACTGCTTGCTGTCCTCGGGCTTAAAACCAGTCCATTTCAGATAACCATAGCCCTGGTGACAACAACTACTCTACATTTAAAGTAAGTCCAACTGTGGCTAGAGGCTATGTGAAAAATATATGCTCCCTGCAAAACTCATACCAGACCCTTTTGGAGTCATTTAAAAGTTCTCTTTCTTGGGCTGGTGAGATGGCTCAGTGGTCTAAAGCACCTACTTAGAACAAGCTTAGCAAAGCACAGGAACCGCGGTTCAATCCCCCAGCACCACATGCCAGCCAGCCCCGCCCCCTGGTGGGCTGAACTGGCCACACACACACACACACACACACACACAAATAAAAATTTAAAGAAAAAAAAAAAGTTCTCTTTCTGCCTTCCGCCACAGCAACCATCAATGGCTGTGGGCCTCAACAAGGGTCACAAGGTGACTAAGAGTGTGAGCAAACCAAGGCACAGCCACCACTGCGGATGTCTCACCACACCCCAAGTTAGTGCAGGACATGATCCAGGAGGTGTGCAGCTTCGCCCCCTACAAGCGGTGTGCCATGGAGCTGCTCAAGAAAAGGGTGGAGGGGGCCAGGGAGGTGGCTCAGTGGAATAAGCGCTTCCCTGCCAAGCACAAGGGCCTGAGTTCAATCCCCGGTTCCACAAAAAAAAAGGAAAAGACAAGGGTGGAGATGCACATCCGCACCAGGAGGAAGGCAGCTGTCAAGAAGGACCGAGCCCCTCTGGAATAAAGCTTTGCAGAAAGTTAAATAAGAAATTATAAAAAAGGACATTCTCTTTCTGGCAGATACACAGTATTAAGTCTAGGGAAGGAGAAAAACAGGGAAAGGAAAAGTTAGAAAAATCAACGTGTTATGTACAGGTATCAACTATCCCAAAATGATAAATATAAGCATCATGTACTGCTAAGGTGAACTGATAAAAATAGCCTCCCTCTGGCGCTTCTCTTTCTTAGGTTAGTGGTCCATGAAATCCCTAAGTCTGCGAACACAGAATCAGTACATTAGGTACTAGGCTGGACACCTGAAATCTCCAACATCATTTCCATCGAGTCCTACCAGCTGTTTTCAGAATATAAACATAGTAATGAAATCAGATGTCCAAGATTCCCTTAGGACACTAGGAGACAGAGGTATGTGGGGCCATCACAGGTAGTAGCCTAAAGGCACCAAGTGCTGGTCACTACTGAGGCCAAGTGACAGATTCAATGAACTCCTCATTCAATGAACTGCTGAAAACACGATAACCTATTACCTGAACACATATAGATAAGACTTCCTGTGGCCAGTGAATCAGTGCCCGCCCTTCCTGGTACCTCTGCCCTGACTCACACCAGCTACTGCCTACTGCAGCCTCAGGAGACAGCAGGAGCTTTCCAGCCTGTGGCACTGTTCCCACTGGGCCCGTGTAATATTCTCTGCACCATGAATCACTGTTCATGGCATGTTCTGAAGTTTAATTTTGAGCAGTATGGTCAATTCTTTTCTCTCTCAAAGTCCTTTGAAGTAAGTAGTAAAGCTCACTCCATGAATAAGGTGCAGTTCCAGACAGAATCATAGCAAGGAAAAGGTCTGAACCAAAAGACATTATTAGGGCTGGTGAGATGGCTCAGTGGTCTAAAGCACCGACTTAGAACAAGCTTAGCAAAGCACAGGGACCACGGTTCAATCCCCCAGCACCACATGCCAGC